GGTTCTCTTGTTTTTTTTTTTTTTTTTTTTAAATCTTGAGTAAATGTCAGGAAAAATTTTTATTGAATATTTATGCAAATTTATTAACAACTCTGGGGAGTAGTCTCTATGGTTTTTTCTACATTTCCTCTGTGTTAGTGATTATTTCGTCTTTTACATTCCTCATTCATTTATATATTTCCACTATAATTCATCATTTATCAAGTCCATTGGTTTCTGATTTGTAACATTCATTTAGGCTTGTTTTTATTGAATTTCTATACTAGTGTCTCAAATACTTCTTGAGTCATATGTATAGTTTGGGGTTTTTCTTTTTTATTAACAAGGCTTACCATCATTTTTAGATACATATATCTTTGAAGTCCTTATCTGAGAGAGCGGGAGTGAGCACAGAAGCAGGGGGAGGAGCGGCAGGCAGAGGGAGAAGCAGACTCCCTGCTGAGTGGGAGTTTTCTGGCATATTCTTCCAGATTCTTTTCTATGCATGTATTTGCTCTCTGGGTGTTGTACATACCAGTAATATTTGTATATTCTATAGATGCATGCATATAAGTAGGTACACATACTTCCATGAATATGTGCATTTTCTATCTACATTTATCTGTGTCCATGTTCTAGTCACCTGTGGAGAAGGATGGAATGCCCTCCATGTTTTCATTGTTAAGTCAGGACTGATGATGCATACACACGTCATTGGGGTATGGAAAGGTCTTTTTTAACTTAATTACAGAGTTGAGGTTCATGGGAGAGCAGGACAGCCCTCTCAAGCAGCTCTGAATTGACCTTGAGAGGGCAAAGCAAGGAGACTGGCTGGGGTGTTTAGTGTGGCTGGGGTGAGGGGTCCCACAGTAGGGTGGTGGCTTGTGTGGTGTGGGTCTTTTGTTGCCACCCAGGCTCTCTTGGCAGTTCAGAATTTGGGGCAGAAGAATATAAGGGAAGGGTGAGGCTTAAGGGCTCACGACAGTCATCAAATAGAGTCCCGACTGCTCTTTACAGTTTATGTCCATCTGTGTGTGTACGTGTAGCTGGGCCCGTGTGTAAACACACACACACAAACTGTCCATCTGTCCTCACATAGCTGCATATTGCAGCTGCCTTCACATTAGTAATCTTTTTATGTTAGTAAATGTAGATTAACCTCATTCTTTCAAGTAAGTACATGGATTTCCATTGCATGGCTGTGCCAGGGTTAGCTGTTACTTGGTGGGTGAATAAATAATTCCTGTGTTCTGCTTTTACAAACAATGGTACCCTGACCGTCATGCACACCCCTCTGTATGGGAGCAACTATATTTGCCATTGGATAGCACTGAACTCTTTCATGTTATACTGTACAGTCAAGGTCCCACATTCTTTAAAGTTACATTCTAGTGGAGAATGGACAAGGGACGAATGGTTTACTAATAGGTTAGTATGAATAATGCTATGTAAACATAGAAAACAGAGAAAGGAGATAGTGATGGGGGTGGTCTGCTAGCTAGGATGGTCAGAGAGCCCCCCTTTCCCTGCCTACAATAGGGCAGAGAGATGTGGGAATGACTATGGAATATAAGTAAAAAGCATGATTTTGTAGAAAAAGTCTGTTGGGTAATTTTTAAGTCAAAATGTGTATGTATTTTAAATTATGATGGATCTTGTCAAACTGTCTTCTTTTAAAAAATACACACTCCTTGATATAACATTAACACTTTTTAAAAAAAAGATTTATTCTGGGGGTGCCTGGGTGGCTCAGTGGGTTAAAGCCTCTGCCTTCGGCTCAGGTCATGATCTCAGGGTCCTGGGATCGAGCCCAGCTTCGGGCTCTCTGCTCAGCAGGGAGCCTGCTTCCTCCTCTCTCTCTGCCTGCCTCTCTGCCTACTTGTGATCTCTGTCAAATAAATAAATAAAATCTTAAAAAAAAAAAGATTTATTCATTTTTAGAGATGGAGTGAGCAAACACGAGGGGAGAGGTAGAGAATCCCAAGCAGACTCTGTACCGAGTGCAGAGCCTGACGTAGGGCACAGAGCTCAATCCCATGACTCTGAGATGATGGACCTGGGTGGGGCACTTTAACTGTCTGAACCACCCAGGTGCCCACATTCTTAAGTATCTGTGTTCTTTCCTTCCTCATCAAAAAGAATGGTAAAATTTTTAAATTTTTTTAAATCTTTTTTTTTAAGATTTATTTATTTAATTTATTTATTTATCTAAAACATTAAATTCTTTGATCTTTTCACAATTTGTTTATACTTAAGGCCTAAGGCCAGAGGTAAGAATTTGGCTTTAAAAAGCAACAAAACACCTACCTCCTTGTCCCCAGGCCATTAGTTATCCTTTTGTCTGGTTCCTCTCAATCAATTTACCATGCTATTATAATAAGCCCAATTTTCATACTTAGAGCTACTTTGTAATTCATTGTTTTACAGATTTTGGCACCAGTATCACATTGCTAATGATTACAACTTTACTACCACTTAGGCTAATAACTTCCCTCAAGTTCTCTCACCTGAACATGGTCCCAGAAGTTCCCTGATTTTTCTTATATGTTCATTCTTTCAAATTAACCTTAAAATCAATTTTCCACCCAAAATTGACTCAAAAATCCTATTGGGATTTTGAATCCTTTGAATAGAGGTTGAGAATTCATTAGAATTACAGATTATTTTGAGAAGTGCTTTCACAATCCATTTTTCTAAAAACTAAATAGACTTACTCAATTTTACATATTCTTTGGTTATAATTTTTCTTGATACGTATCTTACACATTTATTCCTAAGTATTTTATTTTTGTTCCTATTAGCCGTGTCCCACACATTTAATATTCTGTATTTTCATCGTGTTTTTTTCATGAGGTTTTGACTCCTGGATTTTAGAAGTGCATGGACATGTTGCTGTTTTATTTCTAGTTTGATACTTCCAGTCAAAATATATTCTAGGGTTTTAAATATTTTTTAAAGACTTAAGTTATCTCTCCACTCAATGTGGGGTTCAAACGTACAACCGTGAGATCGAGTTGCATGTTCTACTGACTGAGCCAGCCAGGCGCCCCTAGGATTTAAATCCTTTAAGGTTCATTTTATGCCTTCAGAACATGGTCTATTTTGGTGAATGTTCCATGGGCTGTAGAGAGGAATGTGTATTCTGCTGTTTGGTAAGGTGTTCTGTAAATGTCAGTAAGACCCTGTTGGTTGATGGCATGTAAGGTTCTTCTAGTCCTCAATTTTGCTGACTAGTAGTTCTATCAATTACTGAGAAAGGGGCATTGAAGTCTCCAACTGTATGTGGATTTACCTAGATCTTCTTTCAGTTTTCACTGAATGTATTTTGAAGCTCTGTGGTAAACCTTTAGAATTGTTGTCTTTGTGGGTAAACCTTTCATCACTGTGTAATGTCCCTCTTTGTCCCTGGTTTGGGCTGATTTTTAGAAGTAGAGATGAACAGATTGATCTTTTTGATACAGTGAATCAAAAGATGGGCCTTCGAATCTGTTGTAACAAAATTCTCAGATGATTTTTATAATTGGGCAATAGATTTCTTCCTTACAAACAACAGAAATTGACTTTGGTTCACTTAGGCAGAAAGGAACTTCTTAGTGGAAGAATATCCAGTCACGTCTACGGGATGGCTAGAGTCCTGCTATGAAGCCCCAACTGGTATTCTGTAGGGAAGCCGGGGGGCGGGGGTTGTGTGTGCACCAGTTGCTCTCTCTGATCCTAGGTAGCAGAGCAGTTACGGAACCTCAGCTGAAACCATCAGGTCTCACACCACTTAAGACTTGCAAAGGCTGGGGAGGAATATGGCTGGTGGTGGTGTGAACTGTGGTTTGAAAGGACAGAAAAGGCAGGATTGGCAGATGTATCTAGACACATGCTTAACTGTGGCACACTTTGGTCATGGTTCAAATGCCTGGTTTCTTTTGGTTCCTACCTTCCCCTTTTTTGAGCCTGGATTTTCTCTGGGGAAAATTGTAACTTATTTTGGGAGATAAATTAGAAAATAATATCTAATGCTTGCTAGGGTGAGTACACAACAGAGAGTAAATATCATGGGTTGTTCGCATGGCGAGTGGAATTATTTACTGTTTTGGAAGGCAACAGGCTTTATACGTAAGATGGGCTCCCCGATTCTGTATCTTAGGGGAACCTAAGAGGTTGAATAGCACTTGATTGTGTGAGGGATCTACATGTGACTTTGGACAAGTCATCACGTAGCCCTTACTTTAGGCTCATTGGCAATATTAGGTTGGACTAGATAGACCTGCTAATTTCTAGTCTGTCCAAAAATTGCAGTGTTCTGTGACTGGAGAGAGCCTTGCTGTTCCTGTCACTTTATTTAAACATCCTTGTGAAATTAGTTGCCAACTACCAAGAGCTTGGCTTTTTGCTAACTTGAGGCAGCCCTGGGTTAACAGATGTAGGAAAGGGGAGTGTCTGAACTAGCCAGTTAACAGAGCGTGGTCTTGGCCAACTGGCAGAAATCCACTCTGAATGTGGAAAATAGAAACCAAACAGAAAGTACTGTCACACATGAAGCATCATGAACATAGATAATCCATTTTTATCTTTTCAGAGACTGTTAGATTACATCTCTAAATAAACTTCCTCCTAATCCATCCTGTCCGAACTGAAGGGGGACGAGTGGATGTTAGGCAGAGGAATCCTGCATGACTAAGAATGAGAATTAGAAGTTGAGCAAACTAGACTGGTATGAAAATGGGGGAAACCAGATCTCTTATATTCCCCAGATACTGGTTTGCTCTGGAGATACTGAGGAGTGGGTACAGAGAGGTCTGACCTGGCCAGTACGTGTTAATGTCAGTCCTAATTCACAGGGTCACTCAAGATGCCTACAATAGCTGGGCCCAAATAAAAGACCCAAGATGTCAGGAATGCACAATTTATAGAATGGCTGCAAAGGACATTCATTCATGTAGGTGGAGAGATGATTTCCCCTTGACAAAAAAAAATCCATTTAGAAGTGACTGGGCACAATAAATTGAGTCATTCCTTATGACCTTCAGGTTCTTATGAATGCCTCACTCCTGGGAGCCCTGTGTCTTTTCTCATCGGTCTGTGTTGTATGTGCCATTTCTGCATTTACTCTCCCCATTGAGACCAAAGGACGGGCCCTGCAGGTAAGTGATGCACAAATCTCTTCAGTATGCTTAACTACATCTTTGGACCAACGGGAATTTTTGGAGTCTGGAAATTCTTCTTTGAAGCAGACCTGACATCCAGGTGTGTGCTAACACATAGTATTTGCTTAATGGGTTCCAGTAAACAAAAAAACTGGGTATCCAGTTTTGTTTGCATGTAACTTGGAGCAGCACTGAAACTAACCAAGTGTTCACTCCAAATCTTTGCTAACAGGGACAAAACAAAACACCTAAGGCTTATTTAGGTAGTATGCTTAAATTAGCATTCTTGAAAGAGGATACTTATAGTGTGGTTTTTCTGAATGATGTCTTTATCCCACTAGAATTAACTCTAAAGCTACCATTGCTAATGTCAGGTATACAAGGGTAAATGCTAGGGTCTTAATTACTTAAAAGTTTATTAAGAAATCTTCTCATACTAGTTTTGAGTGCCAGACACTGAGGATGAATGGAAAAGGCTTTCTTTTTATTAAGTGTATTGATCTACTGAATCACTTCTTATTCCAGCAAATTAAATGAAGACCTGTAAACCAATGTCTACCAGAGAAGAAAAATGCACTTCATCTTCACGAAGAGCTGTGGCACATTTTTAAAAATTTGGTTTATTTTCTGTACACTACTTGGTAATTAAACTGATGTATTTTTTCAAAAATACGGCATATGAGAATGAGGTGGGTAAACTTTATATTGATAAGCTTGGGAGATTATGAGAATGTCTATAAAAATATTTTTAAGACTGGAAAGGTTTCTATGGGAGATGGGTAGGGAGGGAAGGTAGCTTTTCTTTGACATCAAGTTTGTTAAAGTTGCTTAGAGAAAATGTATACATATTTGATATTTTCCCATGAGGTTTGTAGCAAAAAGTTGGCCTGAAATTTGGTAGCTAAGGCATGAACTTAAGGGCATCATTAAGCCTTTCAAAATAGTCACATTCACAATTTAAATTTGCATTTATTTAAATTGTGGCCTCCATATTGATGAAAATTGCTTATTTATGTAGTATGCTTACATTAGCATGATTCTTGTGTAATTGTGAAAAGGCTGGGAATAAACTTTTTCCCAGATCCTGTTTTCAGTGTTATTTCATGACTTTATGGGAGACTAAAAAAAAAAAAATAATAATAATAATGCACAAAGCTTTTCTACATCATGCAATTACTTACCTGCCCTTTGCATGTGGGACATCACACCCGTGCATACCACTATACTAGGTTAGGTATGGTGTAGAAAACAAAACAAAACACCTAAGGCTTTTATGTTGAGATGTAATCTTTTATTGCTATTTATTTAGGCATGTTGTAGACATCTCTAAAACTGGGGACCCCACGGCTTGTTCATCTACTACTCCCATCCGTACTTTGCAGTGGAAACTCTGTGTAGGAGAGGGTTTATACACCTGCTTCAATAGGGGTGAAAATCCTTCCTATTTGAACCAGAGGTGCAAAAATAGCTTAAAGTCAGGAAATTTTCTCTGTAAAGGACTAGACAGTAAATATTTCACTTTGTGAGCTAAATACAGTCTCTGCCACACACCTCCACCACCCTTTCAGCCTTAAAAAAAAAAATCCCTATCTCTTAGACCGTGTAAAAGAGTGCCAGAGGTTAAATTTGGCTAACAGGCCATGTGTTGAAATAAATTTCTAGATCCAAGATGGAAGAGCTCCTGCCAAGAGTGCCATATCAGCAAACTGAAATTTTAGAGAATGTTGAGAGCTAGGGGCACAGGGAGAGGGAATCTCAAGTAGACTCCCTGCAGATCCTAAAGTGGGGCTCGATCTTGACCACTTGAGATCATGACCTGAGCCAGAATCAAGTCAGACACTTCACTGAGCCACCCAGGTACTCCAGCAAACAAATAACCTTCATGTCCCTGTCACTGTTCCACTGGGCCAGAAACCGTGTGTTCAGTGTGCCAATCACCAAGCCAACTCTGGCCTCTTATTTTTTATCCGATAAAAGCTTCCTGCCTTCTACACCAGCTTTCAGTTCTCTGGACTTTTGGGAATGGACACTGTCTGCTCCATAACGTGGCAAGTAAGGTTGGTTTGGGTCACCTAAAGCATTTTTAACTCGTTGTGGCAGTAAGGATGAGCATCTGAAGCAGACTGCTAATGGCCTGTGGAACAGTAAGACACATACGCAAGGAGCCTGCTGAACCCTTTGAGTTCACTGTTCCTCTCATCAAAACCAAGGGCCGTGGGTAAGTTACTTTGGGCTTTGTAAGCAGCTCTCTGATCTAAATGGGCTGTGTGTTAGAGAGATATATATATAACTCTGTGTGTGTGTGTGTGTATGTGTGTTTATGTAAAATGTAGTTCCCAGAAAGGTACCATACATAACAATCCTATTGGGAGTCTGCAAGGGGGGGCAGCAGTTAGCAACTCCTAAACCCTCGAGGTGCATCCTTTGCATAAACTGCTGGGAGACTTAGGGAAATAGGGTAAGATATTTAAACTGTTCTAACCCATGGCACAACAAAATCTAAATGTGTACAAGCTAAACTACTAAAAGCCACTGCTAATGGGAGTTCTGGACGCCAAAGATGCAAAGTTGGTGGGCATGGATTGAATACAGAACAAGGTAGATTGACACTAAGTCACTTGGCAATCTCAAGAAAAATTCTGTGTAACACAGTACACGGAAAACATCACAAAATCCCCAAGCGTTCTTGGGATTTAATCTGGCTCTGAGAAACCCAAGACATCTTCAACTTTCAAAGAACTGAGTTCTCTATCTCCAGCACACCTACTTAATGTCCAAGAATTGTGGTCTTGGAAGCTGTATCTACCTACAAGTGCACTTAAAATTAGGGGTTCCCAAATCAACCACCAGGAAAGGATACCTATCTTAATTGGTATGCAGAAGTCTCTAAGAGATTTCAAAATCCGATGATAGTTTGATTCAGTGCAAAAGGCTAATAAAGTTTAAAGATACTCGAGATACCTAAAACAAGACTGTAAGATGATTGGACACCTTCAACTCCCCTCTATCTTCCTTGACCTGAGTAATCACAGTCTACTCCTCCATTATCTGCATTGTCTTTCCAAGGCAAAGGTTCTGTAAGTTAGCTGCCTTAAAACGGCAACAGTTAAATAAAATCTTAAAAAAAAAAAAAATAAAAAAAATAAAACGGCAACAGTTCCAAGGCCAGAAACCTAAGACAACAGCTCTGTCTCCTCTGTCACATCTGTCCTAGGGGGTCCATCATCTAAAACACTGGCACACAAACTGCAATCAACTTGGGACACTGGAAAAAAATGTCCTCGAAGATTTTATCAAATTTGAGTATCCCCGTATCTACTCTGAGAAGACCTCTACCCCCTCCATGGGGCTAGGGTTGATGGAACTCCAGGGGACTTTCCTGTAAGTTACTGCCAGTTATTCCCTCAAACTGCCAAGGGGAAATTAAAAATTAATGGAAAACCTTATCAAATCTTGAGAGCTACACTCGATTTTAAACGCCACTCAGGGAAGCCTGTAGATGGGATCCTGGTAAAACTGGCAAAAGCTGGTGAAGAGTGAGAATTCTTACCAAAGTCCGCTCTTCTGGACCACTGTAATGCTTGGTCAAGAGAAATTACACATTGTCTTTTCCTTTTCAAATCAGATTCTTAGGAATTTGGTTTTAGGAAACCCACTGGTTCTTGATCCTTTCTCACCCAGGGATGGCAGTAACTATCTTGTTTCACTTTGTTTCCTGAGACTATGGCTTTCTTCCTGCTGGGGCTCGTAGGTTGTTCATTCTTGTGTCTGTAGACAGCTCAATTTTCAGGTTGGGGCTCTAAAAGATGGCTGTACAAAAATGTGGGTTGCTCCCTTTTTGTGGCTAGGGGCCTACCAAATGTTGCTAGCTCTCAGGGAATTGCTAAGGTCCTTTTTTCTTTTGGTTATCTTTGGGAGGAGTTACGGATCTTGTCAGGGAAAAACCTTTTGGGGTGTTCAATAGTGTCAGGAATATTTACTGTTTGTGCTGGCTGAAACTTGGCAAGGTAGCTGCAAAGATTTTTTTTTTTTTTTTTTTTAATTTGACAGACACAGCGAGAGAGGGACCATAAGCAGGGAGGGTGGGAGGGGCAGAAGCAGGCTCTCTGCTGAGCAGGGAGCCCGATGTGGGACTCGATCCCAGGACCCTGGGATCTTGACCTGAGCTGAAGGCAGAGGCTTTAACCCACTGAGCCACCCAGGGGCCCTGCAAGGACTTTTTTAAAAGTAACTCTATAGTACCCTATGGCCAGAAGATGGCCAAATAGCAAGGAAATACTCAGAGCCTAACAGAACTTTTTAGGCCTTCTCCCTTAGATTCAGTGAAATTTATACAAAGAGGGGAGCCAAACACAAACAGCTCTAACCCTAGAATACAGCAAGTTTTTGATATCAAAAGTACACTGGTACAGGGGCGCCTGGGTGGCTCAGTTGTTAGGCATCTGCCTTTGACTCAGGTCATGATCCCGGGTCCCGGGATCCAGCCCCACTGGGCTCCCTGCTTGGCAGGAAGCCTGCTTCTCTCCTTCTCCACTCCCCCTGCTTGTGTTCCTGCTCTTGCGGTCTGTCAAATAAATACAATCTTAAAAAAAAAAAAAAAAAAAAGTACACTGGTACAAAATTAGAATTTGGTTTTCTGCTCAGAGTAGTTTTCTTAGATTATTGGTCTGCTCTTAAAATAATGTAAATAAACACGTTTCTTTGCTTTCGAGGCAGATTAAAGAATTTGTGTCTTAACAAAATAACTGACCATGCTTTGTGTTGTCTTTAACAGGTCTTCCAGTATTTAACCCAGTCTTCTCATTATTACAAGAACTAAGTTTTTAAAAAAATAACTATGTAACTTTCTGTTATTTACCTTTGAATGGCTTTGGTTAAAGGGGTACCTCTGACAAAATTCCCCCAACTCAAATTCTAAACAAAGTCTTTTTGACTTTGAACTAATGGGAGTTTTCTAGAGGGTCCTTGGCACATCTCAAAATATTTTTTTTCTAATAAGGAGAGAGAACAAAGGGCCCTACCAAATTTCAGAGTGTTAAACCTTGAGTACATATCTCACAACTAAGGAAGGTTCCACCTGGCATCTGGTCCTATGTAAACACCTAAGATTCAAAATCAAATCGACTAGGAAGAAAAGCAGACATTAAGATGAAGTGTTTCCTCCTAGGACACCACACCAAGAACTACTCCTCCATTCCCGCCCCGCCCCGCCTCTGACCATCCTTTGATTTTTTGGGTCCATCTTTTGCTTCCTCTTGGCCAGCAAGGAGGATACTATTATATACGTATCTCAGGTCATTACAAAGGAGGGTAACCAACCTACAACCAATTACTGTATCTGGTGGGAGCCTGGTGATTTGGTAGTTCTTTATACTTGTCACAAACTTCTCCCCAATTTCCAGTGCTTCACTTTCTCTGAAACAAACTCACTGTATAAACACTTCTAGGGAAGTAGACAATTAGATGAGATGCATAAGCAGGCCTACAGGGTTAAAGAAACATCCCTCTCTATATCATTCCTTGATTTCTAGTTGGTTTGGGATACAGTGATGTGGAATAGAAGCAGAAAGATGTTCACCTTTAGCCCAAAAGACTGACCTACAGCCTGCGTAGTTTCGATAAGGA